GGGCCGCGACATTAGTTTGATCGTGTGGCGGTGACGTCAGCGGTGACGTCAGCGGTGGTCGCGCGACAGGCGCAGCGCGAGGCGCAGGTCGTCGTCCTGCCGCTGGCGCTGCTGCTGCGCGGCGGCGTGGAGGCGGCGCGACTCGGCCGCGGCCCAGGCCCACTGCTGCTCCTCGGAGGGCAGCGCGTCGCCGCCCGAGGCCTTCTTCTTGTCCTTGTGGCGGCTGCGCCCGATGCCCCCGATGGTGTGCACGAGGGACTTGGCGTACATGACGGGGCGGGGGGGTTTGTCCTTCTTGGCGGGCAGCGTGCCGCCGGGCCACGTCTCGTTGAGGTTGTCGTCCGCGTCCGGCCAGTTCGGCGCCCAGCCGTCGGCCGCCGGCTTGCCGGTCCGGTTGTCGGTCTTGTCCGGCCAGCCGTCGGTTCCGGTCGTCCAGCCGTCGGTCTTGCTGGCCCAGTTGTCCGTCTTCCAGTCTGCGTCGGCGGGCCAGGCGCTGCGCGTGCCGCCCTCGTCGGGCCAGGCTGGCCAGGCGTCGTTGTTGTTGTTGTTGTGGTTGCGGACGACGGGAGGCGCCGACACCCTGCCGGAGGGGAGGCGGGGCGGCGCGGGGGAGGGGCGGGGGGAGGGGACGCGCGCGAAGGGCTCGTCGGTCTCGAAGCCCGCCACGGAGACGGGCCGCTTGGCGTCCGAGAAGGGATCCTCTATATTGAAAGGGTCTTCGTACCTGTAGTCCTTGAAGGGATCGTCGGTGAAGTCCATGGGCGCGCGGTCGTTCTGACGAGGACAAGCGTGCGTGAGTACGAGGGAGATGTCAACGGGGAGGAGGGCAGGGAGGGGCGAGGGGGGCTTGGGGTCTGCACGCCGCCGCTCCGCTTAACGCTGTAATGTGGGGACAAGCACACGAGCCGTGTTAGCATGTTAGTGAACACCAGGTGGACGCGTATACAGGACGCACATTGTCGGNNNNGGGCGACTCGGCGCGGCGGTCTCCGTCCGGCCGCACGTCGCCAGTTTAGTAAATGGAACAGAGTTATAAACAGGTAGGTAGAATGTAATGTGGTGAGATAACTGAGCATGCAAGCGGCTACAAGCGCGGGGGGGGGGGGGGGGGCGGCACAGCGCGCCACTGCTGTAATGTGTATCCAGTAGAAACCGAAAATATTAATTATGAAAATAATCTTAGATACATTATTGTCTTGATTTTCAGTGGTATTTATTGCGGCCACAAAAGACCCTTTGTTCCTGACCGGTGTCCCGCTGCCCCCGGCCCCCGCAGGAAGCTCTCGTGGCTACACGCTGTACGGTTTGTAGCTGCTCTGATTGAGACAAGACGTCTCTCTCAGTAGTTTAGTGCGCTTTTGAAGATATCAAACAAGCGTTAGGCTATTTACGGAAAGATGAAAACGGGACATTAAACCCTTCTAAAAGCTTCTCAGATGGCACAACCCATGAAGAGGAATGAAGTTAGTTAGTAGTGGATGAGGATCATGGCGGGAGGAGGGAGGGGGAGGGGCGAGGGTGGGGGGGCACGCTCGTGTGCGCCCCAACACGCGGGTTGCCTATTCTAAAATGTCCAGAAGGCGTCACTGATCATTTCGCTTCCGATACGTTTCTACTTTTATTCAGACTACATTTATTATAGTGTCTACATTTATAATAGGCAAGCAGTAATGCGTCAGCAGATAATGCAGAGCGGCGAGGGCATGCAACAAACGGCCGCAGAGAAAGTAACCACCGCGCGGCGTGTGGCGCGGCCCCGGGGCCACAGCGACTCGACATGAGTGGCGACATTGCCGAAGTAGTTGAAATTCCCGCCCAGTGCCCTCACCTGAGGTCGCATGTCGGATTGGGCTCAGTCCCACGGACGCACAACAACGGAGCCTGCTGTGGCCCGTGGTCCGCGTGCGGTCGCGTTGGGACGTGATACACTGAACTATTCTATTTCTAAATGTTAAAGTTGTGTTTAATAATTTACACTCTCCTATTCGCAGCAAGCTCACAGTGACGAGGGCGACCCCGCACCCGCTCGGACCAGGTCGTGCGGACGTGCGGGCGCGCACTGTGCCGTGTCGTCACTTTAATATTTTACGTACCGTTACTTTCTCTGCGGCAGCCAACAAAATAAAATTCAAAATATATTTAGCGCCTCATCCGGGGCAGAACGGCGAACCGCATGCGGCTACTACACAACAGACGGGATCTGACATACTATTTACGCAAATTTACTACGGTACAATATCTGAAAATCAAAACATATATTAAAATAAATTAAACATAAAAAAGTAAATGCCGGGCGTCCCGGGGCCGGGCCGAGAGCGTGTCGCGGCGCGCGGATTCGCTTCAAGTAGATAGGCTCTCGGGCCGACGAACCCTTCCCGGGACGCACGGACCGACCGCGTGACGCTCTCGATTCTTCTTAATAAGGAAACATTGGAAGCGTTGGACCCTCGCATTTAGAACTGTTTGACTGCTGAGGGGGCCGGCGGGGGGCCGGCGGGGGCCAGCGGGGGCCGCGCGCGGTCGGTCCGCCTGAGAGCACGTGGCGTTTCGTTCTTTATAAGCGACAATAAAACGGTTCTACAGAATGTACTACTAGTTGGGAACGTGTGGAATGTTTGTTGTGTCTTGGTATAATCTTTACCTGAATCTTCTAAATCAGGGATTCCCAAAGTGGACCCCGGAAGGCCGATATCAATCTCCCGGGGATCGACATACCAAAACTAAGTTTGAGAGTCGACGAGATCCGAAAGTCGACTCCCGTTCATTAACCACAGGTTCATAATTGAAACTCTCACCACTGTATAATTTACTTATCTTTTAGTTCACGACCTACTTTTTTTCTTCTAAATTATGCATTTTTACGTAATTTTTATTAACAATTATTAATTACATTTGATAAATACTGAATTTGATGTTTATTTTTTTGTTGAATTTTGATAGCAAAAGGATATCAAGTTAACCAACTGCGGTTTGTTAATTGGTAATTATTATGCATCAATAGAAAAAAACTACAGATAGGATTTTAAGGTCATATGGAAAACGGGTCTCCTGGCGAAACTAGTTTGGGAATCCCTGGTGTACCGGCGCCACTAGGGGGCGCGCAGGGGGCGTACCTTGGCGGGCGGCGCGGGGCGGGGCGGGGCGGGGCGCGGCGGGGCGGGGCGCGGCGCGGGGGCGTGCTTGGGGGGCAGCGCGGGGGCGTGCAGCACGGCGAAGGGGTCCGCGTCCCATGCGGCGCCGTCGCCACCGTTCTGTGGGGCGCACCACGGACGACGCGTTCTCATTATGTTTGTGGACTGTTCATCAATTTAACCTTTACCAGTTAACAAAGTGGCAGCAGGACAGTGGGTCGTGTCCCCACTGTCCTGCTCACGGCTGCCGAGTCCCAGGCGGGGCAGCAGTCGCACAATACAATTGAGACTCCAACCTCAACAACAAATGAACACCAGGTGAGCTGCAGGCTGAATACGCTTCTGAACAGACTAGCAGCCCCGGCGACAGTAAGCGAGGCCGCAATACTCACGTCGTGCTGTCGGTCGGCGGGCGCGAAGTCGTCGTTCGCGAAGGGGTCGCCGCTCGCCGCGAACGGGTCCGCGCCGAACCCGACCTGTCGCGGGCAAAGCTCATCATCTACCGAGCGCGCTGCTTGACGTGTGTAACATCACGCGATAGAAGCGAACATACATCATTATATAATTGTTATTTATCATCAATTCATAAATTCCTACGTAATCATAAAACACGAGGCGCGTAACTAATGTTCACAGCCAAGCCAGCTCGAGCGTCCGCGAGCAGGCAGCTCCACCGCGCGTGACGTCACTATTTCCTTACTGCATGCGTGGATGCTGAACCGACTTCGTGGTCTTGTATCCGTATTCTCAGACTGCGCTCCTGACTTAGAGTAATATCGACGTACCTGGGGCGAGGCGGCGGGCGCGAAGGGGTCGCGGGGGTGCGCGGCGCCGGACGAGTCGCTGAAGGGGTCGGGCTCCGACGCCGGACCGTTCATACTCTCGAAGCCATTACTCGCGCACAATTTATCTTCCTTCTCCTCCTGTGTTTTAATTTAGTAATTAGTACTTTTTAGTTACAAGTCGCGGCTAGACTCTCTTGGTCGAAAGGGCTCACCGTAAGATGCCGGTAGCTTCAGGGAGAATAAGGACGTGAAACTCGCCATCCGGTGGGGTCTTCGTGCACACATACAGAGCTTAAAGGCGGCTGTACGTACCAGCGCGTGCAGCGGCTGCAGCGCTGAGTGCGCGTGCTGCAGGCTCCGGGCGGCGGCTGTACGTACCAGCGCGTGCAGCGGCTGCAGCGCTGAGTGCGCGTGCTGCAGGCTCCGGGCGGCGGCTGTACGTACCAGCGCGTGCAGCGGCTGCAGCGCTGAGTGCGCGTGCTGCAGGCTCCGGGCGGCGGCTGTACGTACCAGCGCGTGCAGCGGCTGCAGCGCTGAGTGCGCGTGCTGCAGGCTCCGGGCGGCGGCTGTACGTACCAGCGCGTGCAGCGGCTGCAGCGCTGAGTGCGCGTGCTGCAGGCTCCGGGCGGCGGCTGTACGTACCAGCGCGTGCAGCGGCTGCAGCGCTGAGTGCGCGTGCTGCAGGCTCCGGGCGGCGGCTGTACGTACCAGCGCGTGCAGCGGCTGCAGCGCTGAGTGCGCGTGCTGCAGGCTCCGGGCGGCGGCTGTACGTACCAGCGCGTGCAGCGGCTGCAGCGCTGAGTGCGCGTGCTGCAGGCTCCGGGCGGCGGCTGTACGTACCAGCGCGTGCAGCGGCTGCAGCGCTGAGTGCGCGTGCTGCAGGCTCCGGGCGGCGGCTGTACGTACCAGCGCGTGCAGCGGCTGCAGCGCTGAGTGCGCGTGCTGCAGGCTCCGGGCGGCGGCTGTACGTACCAGCGCGTGCAGCGGCTGCAGCGCTGAGTGCGCGTGCTGCAGGCTCCGGGCGGCGGCTGTACGTACCAGCGCGTGCAGCGGCTGCAGCGCTGAGTGCGCGTGCTGCAGGCTCCGGGCGGCGGCTGTACGTACCAGCGCGTGCAGCGGCTGCAGCGCTGAGTGCGCGTGCTGCAGGCTCCGGGCGGCGGCTGTACGTACCAGCGCGTGCAGCGGCTGCAGCGCTGAGTGCGCGTGCTGCAGGCTCCGGGCGGCGGCTGTACGTACCAGCGCGTGCAGCGGCTGCAGCGCTGAGTGCGCGTGCTGCAGGCTCCGGGCGGCGGCTGTACGTACCAGCGCGTGCAGCGGCTGCAGCGCTGAGTGCGCGTGCTGCAGGCTCCGGGCGGCGGCTGTACGTACCAGCGCGTGCAGCGGCTGCAGCGCTGAGTGCGCGTGCTGCAGGCTCCGGGCGGCGGCTGTACGTACCAGCGCGTGCAGCGGCTGCAGCGCTGAGTGCGCGTGCTGCAGGCTCCGGGCGGCGGCTGTACGTACCAGCGCGTGCAGCGGCTGCAGCGCTGAGTGCGCGTGCTGCAGGCTCCGGGCGGCGGCTGTACGTACCAGCGCGTGCAGCGGCTGCAGCGCTGAGTGCGCGTGCTGCAGGCTCCGGGCGGCGGCTGTACGTACCAGCGCGTGCAGCGGCTGCAGCGCTGAGTGCGCGTGCTGCAGGCTCCGGGCGGCGGCTGTACGTACCAGCGCGTGCAGCGGCTGCAGCGCTGAGTGCGCGTGCTGCAGGCTCCGGGCGGCGGCTGTACGTGCCAGCGCGTGCAGCGGCTGCAGCGCCGAGTGCGCGTGCTGCAGGCTCCGGGCGGCGGCTGTACGTACCAGCGCGTCGTTGGGCGTGGCTCCGCGCACGAGGCGCTCCAGGTGCGCGGGCGCGTGCAGCGGCTGCAGCGCTAACTGCACGTGCGACGCCGCGCCCCGCTCCAGCGCGTCGCAGGCTTCCTCCAGCGCGCGGTAGTGTTCCTCCAGGTGAGAGATCTTGATCTTGGCCTGCACAGAAGAGAGCGGGTCACTCGGCCGCTATTGACAATTTGTTTACTTGTGGGCGAGCGCTGTGGGTGTGCGTTCACACTTTGTATTCGCAGAAATACATGCTCCCATTATTATCAATTAAAACGAAAATATCTTTAAATAAAGTTCTCATTCACGGGCGCGTCTAATGCTTCATGACTTTACCACTGATTCGTGCTGCGGCAAGGGCATTGGGAGGAATCTGCGCGACTTTCTCCGAAAGGACTGACTAATAACAAAGGTGTCTCGTGCCAGAAGAATGCGTATTTGTTAGTGGCGTGAAGGGGCCGCACCTGGCTGAGCGCCAGCACGGCTTGCGGCAGCGCGGCGAGCGCGAGGGTGGCGCGCTCCTGCATGAGGGCGAGGTCATCGGTGAGGGCGCGGTGGCGCGCGGCCAGCGAGAGCGCGGCGGCCCTGCGCGCGCCCACCTCCGCCTCCGTCTCGGCGGCCGCGGCCTCCTGCGCGGCGGCCTGCCCGCGGAGCCGCTCCACCTGCGCCTTCAGGTCCTGCAGCCGCTTCTGCGCCTCGCCCTTCTGGTTCTCTAGTTGCTTTAGCGTCGCCGTCAGCGTCTCCAGCTCGCTCTGCAACAGAAGCGCGGGCTACAGCGCGGCGCGGCGGGGCGCGGCGGGGCGGGGCGGGGCGGGGCGGGGCGGCGCGGCGTGCGCGTGGCTGACCTGCAGCGCCTGCGTCTCGGCGTGCGCGGCGGACAGCGCGCGCTGCTTGTCGCCCAGGTCCTGCTCCAGCGCGCGCCGCTCGCGTCCCAGCGCCTCCACCTCGCGCGCCAGTGCCTCGAGCTCTGGCGTGGGCTGCGCGGCGGGGGCGGGCGCGGGGGGCTGCAGGGCGCGCGGCGGGAGGGCGCGGGGCGGGGAGAGTCCGCGCTGGGCGCGCTGCAGGAGGCGCACGCTGGCGGCGAACTGCACGCGGGACAGCTTGCCGGCGCCGTCCGCGTCGCACAGCGCCCTGCAGGCGACGCTCGCACTTAACATTTACACGAACAAACGGATGCGTTCACTCAGTTTGTAAATATTACTTGCTTCACAGCATTACTCAGCATATAGCTTTGCTATTATTTTAGTTTGTCTAAAGGTTTCACTTGTTTTTGTTTTAATTGGCTATCTGTTTCCTGTCTGATATTCTATTAAGATAATCTAAATTGTTGGTTTCTTTGAAATAAAAAAATTAAAAATTAAGTAATTAGTCGAGGCGGCAGTGCGCATGTAGGGACAGTACAATACAGGTTGCTGACCATATGCGCGCGAGAGTGTGCTGCGGCAGGCCCGAGGTGAGGAACACGTGCTTGATCTCGTCCCCGGACACGAACCCGTCCCGGTCGCGGTCTGCGGCGGCGAACTGCGGCTCCAGCGCCGCCAGCTCCGCCTCGCTCACGGGCTCCCAGCGCTCGTCCGCCGCGCCGCCCCCCGCGCCGCCCGCCGCGCCGCCCGCCGGGACTTGTGCGGCATCCTGGACACGAGGTTTATGCCAAATTAAATTAATGAACAAAGGACAATGCCCAAAAGTGGGCCAACTTTATGTCAAAACTATTTGTACTTGAAAAACTATGCCTTATTTTTGCACGTTGTTTAGTTTATGTATCAACATTTCTTTCAACCTGGCATTGTTTTCCAAAAAAATAAATTACTTATTTGATAACATCCCAAAACTGAGTGCCATAGTTTTTAAATTCGCCAATAGGCAAAGGGCTTAGCCCATACAGCCTTATAGCAAACCTATATGCTATCAAACGATAGAGTTGTTTGTGACATGAACAACAAATTAAAACAAAATAGCTAATGCTTATAATTCACAGGCTTCTTAGTTTATTTTTGTTCAATTCAATATTTATATATTGTAATAATAATTATTACTTAAAACCATGAGTTATTTTGTTTAATATTTTTAGATATTAATGATTCCATTAGTAAAAATATCAATGGCCTACCATTACTCTATTCTTATTATATATGATCAGAGAGTTTTGGCAGCAACCCGGGTGAAACGTCGCGTCACTTGAATTTTTATTTTAATGTTTTTTTAATAGTTTATTGTGTAATTTGTATTATTTGTATTTGTAATATTGTGTATAAAAGGTCTGCGTAAACTCATGCTCAGTCAATGTGGTATTCGTCGAGTTAAAGTCAAAACTCCCAAAAAGCAATAAAAAGAGATACACCGGCTTTTTATTGACATAAAAAATATATAACTTCGACAGACTAGGCTGTATAGGCTACACTCTTTGCCTGCTTATTGGTGAATTTAAAAACAACAACAACAATATCGTTGCCGGCTTCCGGATTTTCATTTCATTTTATTATTATTATGAGGATATAATAATAATAAAATGTACGTAAGGGCTTATTTCTAGCAACATTAAGCACAATTAACTTATTTAATACTGTAAATAATTATGAGAGCGATTATTGATTTCGAAGAAAACAATTAACAACTTAATTTTAGCTGCAGAAAAAAACAGATTTCTCTTAAACCTGGGTGAGAATATAAAAATCGTTTTCTGAATATGAAACGATATTTCTTTGT